TTGAAAGTTATGAGAAAAATAGCTTTCTCTTTTAGATGGGATGTTTTATTCAAGGCGTGGTAAATATTAAGTATCAGCAGCTTATCGATTTACTGCGGTATGTAAGTGTTCGGCAGAACTGCAGATTTTAAATTGATGGTCAATCATCGTACCAGATGATTACCCCCTTATAAATTATTTGCTTCGAGACTTTGCCAAAGAAAATAGCCACGAATATTCCCTGATACATTAAGTCAAATCTATTTATTTCTGAAGAGTGCCAAAAACAAACCATAAACTTACGTGATCCTAGCCAGCTGGTTAACAGGAAGAAAGCTATGAAAAAGTCATCATGGAGCATAGGTTGAGGGGGAAGGGGAAGGAGGTGACTCGCGAGAAACATGCCGCAGTCCTTACACGCTCACTTTTAAAACTCGCGCGCGTTACTCGCCACTTGCATCGCTAGTCGTGTTCTCAGCATTATACACCGAAGCGCTGGATGCAATAGCGGACAACACCTACGCAGGCCACAGAGAAAAGAAAGCATCGATCACGACATACAAACCAGTAAATATATCTTATTAGATCAGTTTTGGTGTGTAGTATCGTTGTATATTTTTACGAGCTGTGCCGTACTTTGACGAGCCCGTAGGGCGGGTCAAAATACAAACAACGAGTAAGAATATACAGCGATACTACACACCGAAACATCTAATAAGTGATTTATTATCCAAAGATTTCCTGTCCCAAAATTCTGACTTACCAATTCAAGTTCTTTAACTTTCCACACGGCCAAGAGGAATGAGACGGGTACAAATATCGTGTGATATTTGTACTCGTTTTACCCGTTATTTGTACTCTACGAAGCAGAGTTGGATAATAAATATAGCTACAGGAACTATATTCTGAGTTCCTCTAAATTCTAATCTAGCTGGAAATTACTCCATGCACCGATGGAGGCAACTGTCCGATGCGCTCAGTGTGCGCACCCTTAATTCATCCGCAAGTCTTGATAATGCTATGATTTATGTTGAATCACTGCTACGAAGCAAAACTGAAATTATAATGGTTGAGATTCCAGAGGCCATTAGACTTTGGAAATGATACTTTAATGATCGGTGGAACAAAGTCTTTGCGTAATATTTTTCTAACTGTGAGTGACAGTCCGGGGTGACAGTTCTGTTTGAGTAGCTAGTTCCTCTTTAGTAAGTATATGTAAGACTTTATTTTCAACAGGGTGGCCCATTAAACTCAAAGGCTGGCATCCATAGGGGTCCTCCATCTGACAAATTCATTACATTAGAATTAAGAAGGTAAAAAGAAAAGTATACTTTGCAATTTATAATACTGTACAAAATTACAATAAAAGACGTTACTAAAAGTTAGCTCGCATGATAATGAATTGAAAAGTAGAAATGGCTAATAAGACTGGAAGAAACAGGCGAGGTTTGACCAAGAAACTAGTCTACGTGTGGACATCTAACATCCTCTTCAGCACAAGGGAGTCACCTTTTTGTCCGCGTGATGTTAGGCATTAATTACAGACGTCTACACGAAGGTTACTCACAAAAGGGCTATTGTAAAAAAACGTCTGGCTTGCTGAAATGCAGTTTACAGCTAACATCACTTGATCCGATCATAAGATAAGTCATGTCTCCAACCATTTTATCAGCTGATCACAGCGGCGATTTCCTGCTATTTTAAAACTGTAAGAAATAATACTGTTATAAAAGCCAAAGCACTTTTTTATAAGACTGCAGTTTATAAATATGGAGGCTGAAATTTGTGAAATTTTAAGAATATATTAAAAATAAACGCGAGGTTGAGATTTTGAAAGAATATAAATTTGTGTGTTGAAAATTTGTAAATACAAATACAATTTTATGTTTTTAACTAAACCGTATAAAATTCTTCTTTCTCTAAAATAAACGGTAAAACGAACTTAAAAGCGAAAAAATCAGCACTACAGTCAACTCCCGCCTTGCGGACACCTCGCTATTACGGACACTCCGTTATTACGGACAGCAGCTAAATCCCCGGCGAAAGTTACAGACTTTGACTGAAACAAACTTCCGCTATTACGGACTCTCGCCATTACGGACATACGGACACTTTATTCGGTCCCAACGTCACAATTTTATTGTTTTCTCTCTCGTTATAGCGGACACCGAGCAGCATCTTGGAATATTTGCACACATGTCAAGTCAATTTTTTTTTTTGCTTTTTGAGATTGTCTGTCTTTTTTGGTCGATTTCCGCTTCTTCTGTCCATCAATCAAAATTTCTTCATCTTTTTCTCTTAAGGCCCTCTTTGCAGTCTCGCTGCCATGAATGAGTTCGTCCAGTCTGTCCAAATGTTGTAACATAAAAATTTTCTCGCACCCCGCTATTACGGACTCTCGCTATTAAGGACACCAAATCGCGGTCCCGAGGGTGTCCGCTATAACGGGAGTTGACTATATGTTCGTTATTGCTAATAACATCTCTGCAAGAATGACGTGCGTCATATCATGCACAGAAATGCCTGCAGGCTGGCTCCGATATTACTGTCTCAGACACCATCCAACACCAATTACACTTGAAGACACTGCCGGAGAAATGCCATACACTATAATCTAAGAACATTCACAGGAATATTTTCAGCCTAAAATCAGCACAAAAATAAGAATATTCAGCCTCAGCCGGAAAAACAATATTCTTATTAAAAAAAATAAAGAGTGTAGCCGTACAGAATGAGACAAGCTAATTGGGGACACTATTCTAGACTACTGAAATAAGAGTCTGATAGGCTAAAGAAAAGAAAAGCTAACACTTATTATGTAACTAACTATTTAAACAACAGAAATTAACGAGAAAAGACAAGCGTGTGACCAATGTGCGATGCCGCGCGCGTGTTGAAATCACGACTGGCAGAGGTCACAACAGTCACTGTTATTCTCTAAAATACTGAAAATATGCATGTAAGTTTCTAATAGCGTTCTTGTAGGACTGACATGTTTCATTATTTGGTCATGTTGATGCTGTAAAATGAATCTAAGGTGGATAGTGTCGCTGATAGCAGTTTAGTCGCCACTTGATGCTTTCACATCTACTGAGAACGATATTTTTGTAACAGCTGCCAAGTAGCTACAAACCTCTGGACCTCAACAAAACGTTTGGGAAAGTTATCAATATTGCTCCTCCTCTACCCCTCGAGTCACGGCATATTGTTCAGTGAAGCTTTAACATTGATATGGGCGGGAAGGGAGGGGGGGGGACTGATAAAAAAACCTCATGTGCGATGCATAGTTAAGTTCAAATTAAGCTATGTCGTATAAAGCATACTTACGTTTTGTAACTTTTTCAACTAGTTTCGTTATCACTTGTAGTTTCTCTAAACATTTTTAATTTCCTCATTGGCAGTCGACGTATTCACTTGTTCCTATACGACAACTGGACGTATGATGAGTCCCCACCCCCTCCTCATTATGCAGTTTTAACTTTACTACATCCCAAGGATCACTGCACTCCGGTCGCTCCAGTTTGCATAACTGATCGTGAGATATGACGATGACAACAAAATTTATCGCTGAATAGATGACTTTTTATAAATCAAAAGCAAGCTCTCTGCTAACTGTCTCATTGAAACATTTGCGTGCCTACTTTTTTTTTTCCTTTTTCTTTTTTTATGTTCAGAACAGAGGACCAGATCTAGCTACTATCAGGGGCAAAAGTAACTGAAACTTTGTCTTACCTACTTTCCTTATATCTTCCCCGACCTCCCCCGTTTCCAAGAACTTCCAGTGTTGTAACCGCGCGGGAGGGGGGGGGGGGTTATAGCTGGTTTTCTTATGACGTCACTAAAATTTAAACTACAAAGCTATTGATCTTCCTAAGATGTTACTTTAATGATGTATAAGAGCGGCTGAAAACTAATATTCACACAAATTTTCGCTCCGAATGGGTTCTTGCTTTTGTGATACACTACGCTTGAATCGCTAAGCTTTTGCGTGACGCGGCATTCACATGACGGCCTACGGAGCTGTCATGGTAGTTAAAAAAAGTGACTTATTTCGGGGAACTTGGCTATCTGAACAGTTCTTGTCTTAGAAAAAGTATTATTTTCATGCTTTAGAGTTCCTCGAGGGATAAATTCACGCTTTTGTAGCAAAACTCAGTGACGGATATTTCTGTTGGTTTCCGGCCGCCATGTTGGTGCCCATACGGATGGGCACCAGCATGGCGTCTCCTTACAAATCTCTATAACAGGTAAAAAATTCCTCCGCAGATCTTCAGTGATATCTTGCATAAGAAAAATTGCCGTGACCAGAATCTTGGCGAGAGTCTTTGTATATTTACCTTCTTTCATTTCCCAGATTCTGGACTTAATCTATTGAACGGTTTTGATTTTTATTTTGATCTATTTTGAATGGTGTGACACTGAAAACCAGCAATTGACGAAAAAGGTGTTTCTCAGTTATCATGGGAAGTACGGATCTCAGTTCGAAAACGTCCGATTTGAAAAAATGTCTCAACACTTTTGTCCCTGAAAGTGGAGTCGCCGCCAGCTATTTCTGAAGTTTTTTTCTGCTTCAAAACTTCCTGTTTTAGGTGTGTCCGCCTTTCTCAACATACTGTCAACTTCGTTAAAATGGATCCATTTGCTCTTAGTCAAAATACCCCGCTCTAACGTCCAATTCTATAGGAAAATCGATTACCCCCACGTTAAATTTCATGCGAAAAACCAATATCGCACGAATCGCGATTCTATATAAAATGGACTCGCATCCTTACCCCACCCCCACCCCCAAATAAACGATGCCAAAGAGACGATGATCTCTTTTCGACGTAAGTGAGGCACTTGAATATGTCGGCGGCAAACTAATTTCCATCAGCAAACCAGAATGAAAAACAGATTGAACAATACTGCTGAAGCCATGTTTCCTCCCTCTTGTTTGGTCTTGTTTTGGTTTCCGCCGATCCCGATCCCAAGATACCTCACGTGCCATGTTTGTGAGCCGCAAAAGACCTGGGCTCTAATTCAACCGGTATTTCATAAGTGATGAATCGCCTTTTTGCTTGGTAGAGTTTGTATCTCAGGTTTTTTACTGTTTTTAGTTGGTATCAAGGGGTGTTTAATGTGTCAAAGATGATGTCTCAGACAGAACTTTTAGCCTGGTCAGAGCCGGACACGAAATTTTTCGCCGATAATCTACTAGGAGTTGAAGATTGGGGTAAGTTTGTTGCACGCGTCTTTCGATCTGTCGAAAGCAGAATTTCATTACGCTACTACAAATCCACTTTTGGTGGTTTTATTTCACATCAATTCTTTGTAATTTATAGGAGACTCTATTGCTGATGTTAAATTCAACCCAGATGATTTGTTTTTGGGAGGGGAAGACCAAGACTTCGATCTAGAAGTAAGTGTATTAAACTTGTAAAAATTCGCGATTGCTCTAGATCGCGGCAGGCGGTTTACATGTACGAATCAAGGTTGCGTGAGGCAGCTATGCTTGAACAGTCATTCCCACTTGAAAGATGCCTTGTGCGAATTGTGAAATTGATTTTCCTAATCTTACAAACATGTTATCGAAGTTTTCGGGGAACGTTAACTAAAGAAACCTCTTAAAATAAACTAGGAAATGTAAAATTGTTTGTTGTGAGGTCTCTAAACTGGTGAAACTTGAGATCGCGTCGAAGAACTTCCGCAAAACTCGAACTGAGGAAGTTTAATGGCATAAACTTGATACCTCTTTACTGCAGCCCTTTACGATGCTTTGTTTTTGTCATTTTCACCAAGAATAAAAATGTCACAATAAAGGACTTTCTGACAAAAGGAAAGCATTAGCTTTCAACTTGAATACTGAAATTGTTTGGTCGGAATATTTGTCTTCGCTGTTCGCAGTAGCGTCTACGCTTAGGTTAATGTGAAATTTTGGTCTTTTTCCAACAGTTAGGACCAAAAATCTCGTTTATAGGTCACTACAATTTAACACTGTTATATTCTGCGTTGAGATTCATGTGTTGGAACATTGATCATAAAGAACAAAACGCATTGTGAAACCTTAAAATGCAGCTCCTGGACGACGGCGAGCCTTGGGAACTATTTTGATATATTCAATTTATAGCTTTGTGGTGCCAAATGTTGTTCAATTAATTTTCTTGTGCGAAAAGGTTTTTAGATTTCTCTTCTAGTATCATTTTTAAATGTCTACGATTTTTCTTGCAATTTTAATGCAACATGTTCCCGTTGTTTTATTTCTTTACAGCACAAAGATGATCACCTGAACGAATTTTTGTCAAGTCTGGGCGATCCTTCTTCCCCCGTAATTGAAGATTTCGATTTTACTTCGGGTTAGTAATAAATCATTTTTCTCTTAATTGGTATACTGTTTTATGTGATATGAATTTTTTTTCGCATTATTTATTCAGCTCTGTGTTGTTGATTTAAACAGCCGCTTTAAAAAACCTCATCTGTCACTCAACAGGTGTTTGTATTAAAGAGGAACCTCTTTCTCCATCATCCTCAAATTCTTCTTGTGCTTCCCTGCCCAGTTCACCAGAGAATCAGGTACATGCATGAAGAGTTATTACAGGCTGAAGGGTTTCATATATAATTAATTTTTTTTTTGTACAATTTGTATTGCTTGATACAAACTTTTAAGCGTAAGAAATTTAG